AAAAAAAAAAAAAAAAAAAGTAGGCTGGGTGCAGTCGGACGCAGCAGCTCAGACCTGTAATTCCAGCACTTTGAGAGGCTGAGGCAGGCAGATCACTTGAGGTGAGGAGTTCAAGACCAGCTTGGCCAAAATGGTGAAACCCCATTTCTACTAAAAATATAAAAATTAGCCTGGCATGGTGGCAGGTGCTGTAATCCCAGCTCCTGGGGAGGCTGAAGCAGGAGAATCGCTTGAACCTAGGAGGCAGAGGCTGCAGTGAGCCGAGATTGTGTCATTGCACTACTGCCTAGACAAGAGCAACACTCCTTTTCAAAAAAAAAAAAAAAAAAGTAGACTGAGTTCAGTGGCTCACACCTGTAATCCCAGCACCTTGGGAGACCATGGCAGGCATATTACTTGAGGTCAGGAGTTCCTGGCCAACATGGTGAAACTCCATCTCTACTTAAACACACACACACACACACACACACAATAAAATTAGTAGGGCGTGATGGCGGGCACCTGTAATCACAGCTGCTCGGGAGGCAGAGGCAGAACTGCTTGAAACCACGAGGAACAGGTGGCAGTGAGCCAAGACTGCACCACTGCACTCTAGCGTGAGAGACAGAGCTAGAGTCCATCTCAAAAGGGTCTAGGTATGTAAAGCACTTAGAAAAGTGTCCAGCACTTAAAGTGCTTCTAAAGTACTGCCATAAATATTATTTAATAACATGAAAAAAACTAAGGACTGGAATGAAAATTACAAAAATTATGGTACTAAAAACTTCCACAAAGTTATTTAAAAGTACAACCTCTATTCAGTCATCAGTTGGAGTATAAATAAAAAAAAAATTAAAACTATAACCATTTTTCTGTACATAAAGTATATTATGTAACACTTCTAAACTTTTTCATTTACATGAGAAAAAATAACATTAGAAAAAAATCGGAATCCAGTTAGAATACCCACTGTAAGACTGAACTATTTGCAAATTTGCTTCCAAGGCTCAGGAATACACTACTCAACTGAGGCCGTATTTGAGTGACAGCACACACTTAGTAGTCCACCAATAAAAGAAACTTTCATCTCAGCTGCAGCTTCAGAGACCAGGATTCCTCGCTTAAGTTGATAAAACCCAAATAACGCACAGCTGAGCGAGTCTTTCTCCTAAGACCACACCAAGCTTCTATTGGAAAATCCACAGACCAGGTGATGCAGTCACCATACAGCATACAGACACAGTATTTGCACTCTTCCTATCCCCTCCCCTAAGATCCAGACTCAGCGTGCTCACTCTGAAAGCTTTCTCAGTTCACCCTGCCATTTGCCCAGAGCTAAGCCACCTCTACAAGCGACGGTGAATTATTAAAAGGAACATGTTCACTGATAAATACTTTATTTCTTTGCACACAAGTTATCTACTTCCTTGCTACTCAAGGATAGTTCTTGTCCAGCAGCACATAGGTTATTAGAAATGCACAATATCATAATGCATCATAGACCTACTGAACCAGAAAATGCATTTTTAGTAAGACCCCCAAGTGATTCCTACCCAGATTAAGGTTTGAGTGATACTGTGATACTGCACATAGCAGCAAAAATTAAAAATGCTCCACTTTACAAATGAATTCAGAGATAGGGAATGAAAAGTATCAAGACATAAAATCAGAAAAGCCCAAAGAGAAAAACCAATATATAAATGAAATTTCTCTGCCACTTGATAGTAAAGATTTTTCAACAATACCTATATTTATTGCTTCCTGCTTTAAGTATTTTGAGCAAGAGCACAACACAAAGTTTTACAAGGAACAAAAGAATGGGTCTAGAAATTCCCCTGCAATCTGGTCCAAACGTGTGAAACCTGCATATTAAAATCTTGGGATTCTGTCCAATTCAGAGTTGACAAATGAACTCACCAGAAAGTTATTATTCACAAAAAAAAAAAAAAATCTACAGGATGTTAACTTTAAACACATATTATAATTCCTGGAACTAAAACTAATAACTAGTATCGAACAAATTCTAGGTCACTTGTAGAATCGAATCTTGTATTGAAGGTGTGTGTCTGTTTTTCCAGGAAAAGTCGCGGTGGGGAGCTGGATTCGCCCTCCCTGCCAAGTTATGCTCTTATCCTGAAAGACCTCACTTTCTTACGTGTGAATAAACTTAAGTCGTACTAACTCCAAGTCACGGTTCCTTTCCTCAAAAGTGAAGTTAAGGCTTCTCTCTTCTAAAAACTATATCTTTTAAGGTTTGAGGATTCCAGGCCCGTTTCGCTTCCGGCCAGGGAAGGAGGCATGCTGCCCGGGGCCCAAATGAACAGGGAAATTTACCAAGTAGGAAGTTGAGCACTAGTCCGGCCGCCAGGCTCTGCCCTCTTACTGCAGCTGGCCTTCCAGTCTACACGCCGACTTCCTGGGGCAGGGAAGCCAGGCAGGGTACCAGCAGTCACCCCGCCCAGCTCGCCCGGGAGCTGAGGGGACCACCCCTCCCGCCATCCACCCCCAACGCCGACTCCGAGTCGCACAAACGGGAGGCGGTGTGACAACCCGTCCGCGGTGGCGGCGGTGGCCCCTCAGGCCTTCCCGTGAGGCGGCGGCTGCGGCAAAAACGCGGGGGGCGGGGGGGGCGAAACCCGTCCTGAGGCTGAGCGGGAGGCCGGAGCGGGAGCGACTGCATGTGGGGCTGCACTGGAGGAAGGCGGAGGCGTTCAGAGGGCTTGGCCTTTTTTACGATTATCATCATATTTTGTTTTACCTGTGGCGCAGAAGGGCTCCCCAGCTCCTATTCCCTGAATCCTCCTCCTCCTCCCCTCCTCTTTCTCTCTCTCTCTCTCCCTCAGTCTGCCAGGCGCTCGCGGAACCGGCCGGGCTCGGCCCGACCTGAAAGAGAACAGGGCGGGAGGGGGTGGCGGCGGTGACCAGCGGCCACGTGACCACGCTCGCGCCGTAACGGCGACCGCCTCCTGCCGCGCGCCCTCCCCGCGCTCCACCTCTAATAACCCCGCAGCCTGCGCGCCTGGGAAGCTCGTGCGCAGGCGCCCGCCGGGGACCTTAAGTCTGCGCGGGAGCGCGACGCGCTCGCTCTCGGGTCCGGGTTTCTGGGGCCCGCGAAGCGCGAGACGCGAGTAGATGGGGAGTGAGCCGCGGGCAGAGCTCTCCTTGGCTGAGCCGGCAGGCTGCTGAGCGCAGGCGCGTGAAGGCTTTTACCCCTCCTTTCTCTCCCCTCTTCCTGCGCGCGCGCGGCTGGAGGCTGGGAACCGGTTCCTGGGTCTTAGTCAGAGGTTCACATCCACCAACTACCTTCCCAGGGTGGGACTGATAAGAAGGGGATCAGAAGGTCCCAGAGACCTTCTTGAGATCCTGGCTCTCCTGCCAAGGAATGTACGTTTCCTTGTCACATGTAAATGGCCTTCCATTCCACTTTGTTCTGTAGGTGAGTAGGCTTCTAACTCAGCTCATCTGTCAATTTCTCAGTGAAATTTACCCCTCTCTACATTAGGGGAATCAATAGCACCTACTAGCTGAGTAGGCTTCTAACTCAGCTCATCTGTCAGTTTCTCCGTGAAGCTTACCCCTCTCTACATTAGGGGAATCAATAGCACCTACTAGCTGAGTAGGCTTCTAACTCAGCTCATCTGTCACTTTCTCCGTGAAACTTACCCCTCTCTACATTAGGGGAATCAATAGCACCTACTAGCTGAGTAGGGTTCTAACTCAGCTCATCTGTCACTTTCTCCGCGAAACTTACCCCTCCCTACCTTAGGGGAGTCACTAGCACTTTGTTCAGACCTACCTTGTAGTTCAACCCATAGAAAGATAAAAGTTGGAAGTTATTTTTTACAAGTGCACAATACTAGACTGTGGTTCTGTCTTTTCCTCATAGCCTTGGACAGGGTCTTCAGCGTTGTAGTATCTCCCTAAAGATCTGATGACTATCAGAACACAGGCAATGTCTAAAACTTTGTCTCGTTGCCCTTGGCCTCTGCATAATAATGATTTAAGATCCCCTTTAACCCAAGCACGTGGAATGCTGGTGTTTGTGTCCCCGATATGAAAGCCTTTAAATCATAACGCTAATTAAAGTGGTAAATGCTTCACCTAGTAAAAGAGATTTATGGTATTTTATTAGCTTATCTTCACAAAGAGCTCCAACGAAAATTGATACTGTTTAGTCCAGAAAAAGGAAACCAAGTCAGAGAAAGGTCAGATTTCTGAAGGTTATCTAGCTTCAGAGAAAGGTGCCTGTGTGGGAGACATTTGTTTGCAGAAAACACCCTACTTCACACAGGGATCCCTCTTTTTCTGTTGTCCCTCTTTCTGTTGCAGAAGCTGAACAGGTTAAGTTAGTGCCTGTGGCCAGATTTAATCAGGGCAAATAAATAAAATATATACACTCCCTAATTGGGAGTTCTGGCTAGGCCAGTCGTCATCACTGTTAGACTGGCGAATACTGAGATGATACTCAGGAAATGGGACTAGCAACAAAATGACAGAAAATCCTGGGATGAATATACATGAATAAATAGGATTAACAGTGGCTTCTGAGACACTAGGAAAATGACAACTCTCAAGATTTCATTCTCATATGTTTCCAAAGTTGATGGACTCTTTTCTGCATTTACCACTGTGTACAGCCACAGAGTGATCCCACCTGATAGTTTCAGCTACCACATTGGTTATGCTAATGGCATCTCATTCTAAATATTCAGCCCAAGATTCAGACCCTGTGCTAGACTTTCTTGTGACCCGCAATTAACTATGCCTCCCAGTATTCATGCCCATGTATATAGTCCTCTCTTCTTGAGTCTGGGCCAGACCTGTCACCTGCCTTAAATAATCAAATATTGCAAAAATTACTCTCTGTCACTTCTAGGCCTAGGCCTTGAAAGGCTTTTCAGTGACAACTTTGAACTTTACCAGAGAGTCATGAGAAACAAATAGTTAAGAAATCCTGCCACCTTTTTGTGTTCTGAGAAACAGTTTACCACAAAGACCAATCCTTCTTCGTATTACTTAAAGGAGACTTGTTGTCCACTTTCTCTGATAGAACTAGTAAAAGACCTGTGACAAGACCAAACACATACCTTTCCCTTTTTCCTGAATCTGTGGGGAAGGTCAGTCACCTTTCAACTTCCTATTTGTCTCATGAACGATTAGCTAGGATTAGAACTATTTTCCCCCCCTTGAAATTAGGTAGAGTTAAACATTTCCTAGATGAGAATTCCTCTGATTACCAAAATAATCCCGGTTGTAATCATCTCGTCTATAACTTGTCTATGCCCCCCTGTAAAAGTATAAGGCAGCCAGGCACAGTGGTGTACATCTGTACTCCCAGCTACTCAGGAGATTGAGGTGGGAAGATTGCTTGAGCCCAGGAGTTTGAGACCAGGCTAGACAATAGCAAAACCATGCTCTAAAATAATAACAAAAGTATAGGGCAAAACCACCCTGCTGAGACTCTGATCTTCAAATCTGGAGTATTCTCCCTAATGTAATTGCCTGAATCAAATCTATTTCCTCACTTGTTTGTTTTTTATCTTGGACAGCAGCTTTCGTTTTTGCCCTTTATGAGAAGAACCATGTAAGAAATCCAACTATTCTGAAGCTACCACATTGTGAAGAGTCTAACCAAGCCACCTGGAGAGACCAAATAGAAGAAAACTAAGGCCCCTGGCAAACAGCCCCAGCTGTGCTCCTCCTGGACAGTCAGCACCAGCCTGCCATGCATGTGATTGAGACCATCTTGGAAATGGATCTTCCAGCCCTACTCAAGCTACTGCAGATGTTACCACACGCAGCAGAGATGAGCTTTTCTCCCCAGTGCCCAAATAGCAGAATTGTGGGAAAATAAATAAAACAGTTGTTGTGTTAAGCCACTAAGTTTGGCTGTAGTTTGTTAGATATCATTAAATAACCAGAATAGACCTATGTATTTAGCTGCCTGCTAGAGATGTGTCCAAGTGGTCCCACAGGCACTTCAAACTCAATCTACTTCAGTTGAGTTTTTCAATTACCTTTCAAACCTGACCCTTTTCCTGTGTCCTTTACCCTCGACTGGTTATGCATTTATCTCCCTAGTTCCCTAAGCAGAAAACCCAGGAGTATCCCTTTACTCCTTACCCTACAATATTCAGTCACTAAGTAATGGGCTTTCTTCTCCAGTCCCCCTAACATGTCTCACCTCAGATCCATGTCATCTCTGTCCTGAACTACTGAGGATTAATCAAGTTCTTCCACATTACAAAGAAGAGTCACTCAGGCATCCAGACTACTTTAGAGGTTTATTGTCAGGCAAGAAGTAAGGAGATGTGGGAAAACACCCCAGTCATCTCCCATGACCTGCATCCTGATGGTTCCCAGAGTGGGAGGCCCAGGTGGCATCATAAAGAGCCACAGCAAAGACCGCATCCTTTAGGCTACAACAAAAGCTGTAAGGATCCAGCTTCTCTCAGGGTTCTCAGATTCTTACTACCCAAGAGACCAACTGAGGGACCTGTTAGTCCCAGTCAATGCAGAGCACCCTGACAAGGCAGAAAGTGGCCTGCAAAACTAATCTGGAAAAAGAAACAAAAGTCATAAAGCTGATGATTAATAACTCCTTAAAATACAAACCTTGTATAAAAATTCATTTTGAGTTTTGTTACTTATAATAGAATTTGAGTTTAAGGTAGAAAAATTAAATTTGAACTAACTTCAGCATTAGAAAAATAATTGTGACGCTTGGTTTTGCAGCAACTCATGTGCTGGCTGATTCTCTGCTTTGACATCTATGTGCATTCTCTGTCTTGGGACATGGCAGAAAATAATGCAAATGTTCTCAGAGTCTCTTGCCAAAGATTGGCTTTCTCCTAGGCCTCTGCCCATGTGGACATTCAGCCTGGGACTACTGTGGTCAGACCACCATCCACATTCCTTCTCCTTGCTCTTTTCTCCTCCACTCCATTCAACTCACCCAGGTAAATTGGCCATCATTAGATCCTGAAATTGCTATGATGGCATAGACTGACATGATAATAAGATGTACAGCCTACAGTATTACAGTATGGGATTGTCCAGTGGGAAGTGAAAGGGTTGTGGTAAACATGGGCTGTGCGTGGGACTGGCATACTACCTTCTGCGTCATCCGTGAAAATACCCAACTCAGATCTCCTGCTGCAAGAAGCATAGTTGACTTTCAGCCTCAGCAGCTGCCCCGCTGGATCCACTATCAAGTTCATGCTGAGGCCACACTTCTCCTGGGATACTCTCACTCATTGATTGATTGCAGCAGGAGTATTGGTGAAGGCCAAAAGAGGATTCCCCAGTGGCATGGCCAAAACTTTCTTAGAACTGTGCCAAAGTCTAAAGCTCTTAAGAGCTCTTCTGTCCTTTCTCCTTAGCTTTCCCAGGTTACAGACCTGCATTGCAGTCTGAAGGCTTCCCCTCTGCCCACACACATGCAGTCCAGCTCCTGCTTTTTCCCCTTTGTTGGTGTTCTCTCAGTAAAGCTTTTGTACACCAAAAGCTTTGATGTAAATGAAAAGGAAGTCCTAGAATGGGCTTGTGTTTCAGTTCATTTTGTAAGTCCCATCTTGGTGTTTGCCTCTCAGAGGACCTGAACTGAAACACAACCCCATTCTAGGACTTCCTTTTTCCGTTCTCAGACTATAGCTACAGGTCACAGTTATTAGTGATATCAAGACATCTAAATTCTTTAATTCCTTTGGGTTTTGAAGAACATTTCATCTCCTAGAGCCATCTATTAAAATCCAGCTAACCCTAGGTAGAGATAACAACAAGCTAAAGTGTTTCACTGTTAAGAAAATAAGAAAGGCCAGGCACAGTGGCTCACTCCTGTAATCCCAGCAATTTGGGAAGCTGAGGTGGGCAGGTTGCATGAGTTCAGGAGTCCAAGACCAGCCTGGGAAACATGGCGAGACTCTGTCTCTATGAAACATACAAAAAAACTAGCCAGGCATGGTGGCACATACCTGTAGTCCCAGCTACTCAGGAGACTGAGATAGGAAGATCTCTTGAGCCCAGCAGGTTCACACTGCAGTGAGACCTTGTCTCAAAAATAAAAAAAATTAATAAAAAGAAAATAAGAAATACTGTTTGAGTTAGTTTGACAGTAAAAATGATTAATATTGTGATAAATACTGTGAAGCTAACAACAAAAGTTTCGTAAGGTAATATGGCCATTTTGGTACCCCACACATCATTCTGTGTTTCTGGAGCAAATACTTTGGGAGTTATTTGTCTAGCTCATAACAAGAACTATCAACCACTATCCCTCAATCAATTCTCCTTTCTCTCCACCCCCAATCCTCTGTCAATAATCTAAAATAAACTGAGACCAATCAGCTTCTCCTCTAAGATAACTAAGAATTGGGATTAGAAGGGAACTAGTCAGTCTTTGTGTGTGGCTGGACCTGCAACAATCCAACAGAGTAGGCCATTTCATAAGTCAACCAGGATAAGAGAAACCACTTCAACTATTTACAACAGAGGAAATCTAATACAGAAAATGAGTTAACAGGCGATGGAAGCGCTATTCCTGCTACCTGGACCACAGAGACAGTGCTGACTCAGGTTTCAATGTGCAGAGCACCAAGCAAGCAATGGGGGAGATTTTCCAGAGACTAGCAACTGCAGGAGGGAACTCAACTATCCCCTAGCTGACAAGACACAGGAAGAGATAGTACTCATGGGGCTCCAGGCTGGGGTCATCCCATGGGAGACACAGTCTGAGTGGTGTTATGCAGAGAACCACTTAGGGCAGCTTTCCTTGGGAGGTGACCATATGCATAGCAGAGACCTGCAAGGGGCACTTTCCCTGGTCACCCTCCCACTAACAACCACAAGGAGTAGGAGAGTCTGTTTCCTAAAGCAGGGTCATGGCTATTTGGCAGAGCAGGGAGAGATACTTGGCAGAAAAACAATATTTGTTCACTCCATTCCATGTGTTAGTTACCCAGCACGTGTATATATCATTCTTCTCATACATAATTTTTAAACTCTTTCACCTAATAAACTAACCTTGTAAGTAAAGACTAGTAGGTGCTCAACCAATTGATTGGTGGTGTTAGGGAGTGGCTGTAAAGTCATTTTAAATCTCACCCTAGTCATGGAAAACAAAAGTAAAATTATTCTTCGGAGAGTCTGCCTCCAAAATACTAAAGCCAGAAATTGATTTGTATGTAGTGTCTGCATAGCTATGTGTGATAGACTGCTCGCTCCTCCTCCCTTCCAAATCTATTTTTCTCTTCTTCCCTACACTTCCATACACAAGTTTCTTGCCCTACACTGCCTCTCTTTCTCTATTCTTCCTACCTGGAACACAGATATAGTAGTGATTCAGGATCCAATGTGCATAGCCTACCAGAGCAACCAGATTGCAGGAAACTGCATCCCTGTATTGCTTGGTAAAGTACTGCTTATCCAACCCAGACTGCCTCACTACATCTTTAAATTAAAGAGAGATAAACTTCTACCTTATTTAAGCCTCTGATTTTTTTCTGTCTTGCTTTAAAGCTGCATACTCAACCTAATACAATATATAAGGTATTACATATATGTATGTATGGTATTATATTCTGTTAACTAAGTTGATAGGCAGAGAATCTCATGAAAGCCTATCTAGATCAATTTAAAAATCATAAATAAATTCATTTGCCCTTAAAGGATATGATGTCAACATTTATGGATACCTGAAAAATGTCAAATGCCTTGATACAACAAGGCTGATATTTGTACCATGATGCTTTAGATTATTACTCATGTGACTGTCTCCAAGTTGTCTTTAAAGATCACAGTACAGTCAGAAACATTGGGAGGAAGCATAAACTAAGAGGTTAAGTGGGCAGACTCAGGAGTAGAATTTCCCAAGTTCAAATCCTAGCTCCCTTACTTGTTAATGATATAACCTGAAGTGAGTTAATTAAGTTACTTAACCTCTGTGGCTCCAGTTCTATGTGTAAGATGGGGATAATAGTTCCTAACTTATTAGGTTATTGTGAGTATTAAGAGCATTAAATGAGATAATCTCCTGTTACATATTTAGCATAAGGTAACCATTTAATTTATATATCTATATACAAAATATGTATCATGCTATATAAATAATTGTTAATAAATATTTGTAATAATTATTACTAATAACAATTAATAATAAGTATCATTATTAACTCTGAGTCTTCATCAGAAAAAGCTGTATTCAGGAAAAGCAACTTATTCTAGATATAACAGTGATTATTGAAATTCAGTGTACGCACATACAAAATAGCAAATTCTGGACTTTGCTTTGGATATCAAAAAGACAAAGGTATTTTTGCTGTACTGCCCAAATGTCTCCTATGATATACCCACTAGTATGCCTCAATAGCATAGCAGTAAAATTAGTGTCTTAACTTTGCTCTGAAAGTACATTATTTCAAAACATTATCCTTCCTCTTAAGTGGGAGATTATCAGTGTTGATTTTCAACAATTTTGTGAAAGGATAATAGAGTTGTGATCACAATTAAGTATATAAATTCATTTCCTTGAATCATTTGTTTCTGTAATAGCATTTATTTCCATTGGCTTACTTATTCTTGGTCTGGTATGCACAGGTGGTCCCTAATAAACATTTTTCAACATGATTTTATAGTGTTTCTTATACCAGATGAGACTCCTACATTTTTTTCCAGGTACAGGCTTAAAATGTTGTGCCAAAAAAACCTTTAATAAGCAACATGGCTTATACCATTTAGTTCCATATCCCTGTTAGAGTGTTTGCCCCAATATGTTATTAGCAGCTGCTTCTTTTTTTTTTTTTTTTTTTTT